ACATCTTCTCACACCTCCACTCACATCTTCTCACATCTTCTCATCTCACATCTTCTCCTCTTGCCCTCTTGCCTTCTTGCCCTCTCCTTCTTTTCTATTTCTCTTTTGAAGGCGGGAGCAGGGGCAGTGCCAACGAGACGGCACGAAACGCAACCCGTTCGCACGAAATGAGGGCCGATCGTCAAAAACTGCGGTAAAATTGCGATTTTACTTGTCCCGGAGCAACCCTTTCGCACGAAATGAGGGTCGATCGTCAAAAACTGCGGTAAAATTGCGATTTTACTTGTGCTGGAGCAACCCTTTCGCACGAAATGAGGGTCGATCGTCAAAAACTGCGGTAAAATTGCGATTTTACGTGCCCCGGAGCAACCCTTTCGCACGAAATGAGGGTCGATCGTCAAAAACTGCGGTAAAATTGCGATTTTACTTGTGCCGGAGCAACCCTTTCGCACGAAATGAGGGTCGATCGTCAAAAACTGAGGAAAAATTGTCCCGGAGCAACCCTTTCGCACGAAATGAGGGTCGATCATCAAAAACTGAGGAAAAATTGCGATTTTACTTGTCCCGGAGCAACCCTTTCGCACGAAATGAGGGTCGACGGTCAAAAACTGCGGTAATAAGCAATTTTACTTGTGCCGGACTTGTCTGTGTGTAAAAGCGCCTGTCTGTAAAAAGCGTCTGTGTGTAAAAGCGTCTGTGTGTAAAAGCGTCTGTGTGTAAAAGCGTCTGTGTGTAAAAGTGTCTGTGTGTAAAAGCGTCTGTGTGTAAAAGCTTCTGTGTGTAAAAGCCCCTGTGTGTAAAAAGCGTCTGTGTGTAAAAGCGTCTGTGTGTAACAGGGAAAAGCGTCTGTGTGTAAAAGTGTCTGTGTGTAAAAGCGTCTGTGTGTAAAAGCTTCTGTGTGTAAAAGCGTCTCTGTGTGTAAAAGTCTCTGTGTGTAAAAGCGTCTGTGTGTAAAAGCGTCTGTGTGTCAAAGCGTCTGTGTGTAAAAGCGTCTGTGTGTAAAAGTGTTTGTGTAAAAGTGTTTGTGTAAAAGTGTTTGTGTGTAAAAGCCTCTGTGTGTAAAAAGCGTCTGTGTGTAAAAGCGTCTGTGTGTAAAAGCGTCTGTGTGTAAAAGCGTCTGTGTGTAAAAGGGTCTGTGTGTAAAAGCGTCTGTGTGTAAAAGCTTCTGTGTAAAAGCCACTGTGTGTAAAAGCGTCTGTGTGTGAAAGCCCCTGTGTGTAAAAGCGTCTGTGTGTAAAAGCGTCTGTGTGTCCAAGCGTTTGTGTGTAAAAGCGTCTGTGTGTAAAAGCTTCTGTGTGTGTAAAAGTGTTTGTGTAAAAGTGTTTGTGTGTAATAGCCTCTGTGTGTAAATGTGTTTGTGTGTCAAAGCGTCTGTGTGTAAAAAGCGTCTGTGTGTAAAAAGCGTCTGTGTGTAAAAGCGTCTGTGCGTAAAAGCGTCTGTGCGTAAAAGGGTCTGTGTGTAAAAGCGTCTGTGTGTAAAAGCTTCTGTGTGTAAAAGCCCCTGTGTGTAAAAAGCGTCTGTGTGTAAAAGCGTCTGTGTGTAAAAGCGTCTGTGTGTAAAAGCGTCTGTGTGTAAAAGCGTCTGTGTGTAAAAGGCTCTGTGTGTAAAAGCGTCTGTGTGTGTAAAAGTCTCTGTGTGTAAAAGCGTCTGTGTGTAAAAGCCTCTGTGTGTAAAAGCGTCTGTGTGTCCAAGCGTCTGTGTGTAAAAGCGTTTGTGTGTAAAAGTGTCTGTGTCTGTGTGTAAAAGCGTCTGTGTGTAAAAGCGTCTGTGTGTAAAAGCGTCTGTGTGTGTAAAAGTCTCTGTGTGTAAAAGCGTCTGTGTGTAAAAGCGTCTGTGTGTAAAAGCGTCTGTGGGTAAAAGCTTCTGTGTGTAAAAGCCTCTGTGTGTAAACGGGTCTGTGTGTCAAAGCGTCTGTGTGTAAAAGCGTCTGTGTGTAAAGGCGTCTGTGTGTAAAAGCGCTTGTGTGTAAAAGCGTTTGTGTGTAAAAGTCTCTGTGTGTAAAAGCGTCTGTGTGTAAAAGTGCCTGTGTGTAAAAAGCGTCTGTGTGTAAAAGCGTCTGTGTGTAAAAGCGTCTGTGTGTAAAAGGGTCTGTGTGTAAAAGCGTCTGTGTGTAAAAGTTTCTGTGTGTAAAAGCGTCTGTGTGTGTAAAAGTCTCTGTGTGTAAAAGCGTCTGTGTGTAAAGCGTCTGTGTGTAAAAGTGTCTGTGTGTAAAAGCGTCTGTGTGTAAAAGCTTCTGTGTGTAAAAGCGTCTGTGTGTGTAAAAGTCTCTGTGTGTAAAAAGCGTCTGTGTGTAAAAGCGTCTGTGTGTAAAAGCGTCTGTGTGTAAAAGGGTCTGTGTGTAAATGTGTTTGTGTGTCAAAGCGTCTGTGTGTAAAAAGCGTCTGTGTGTAAAAAGCGTCTGTGTGTAAAAGCGTCTGTGTGTAAAAGCGTCTGTGTGTAAAAGCGTCTGTGTGTAAAAGTGTTTGTGTGGAAAAGCGTCTGTGTGTAAAAGCTTCTGTGTGTAAAAGCGTCTGTGTGTGTAAAAGTCTCTGTGTGTAAAAGCGTCTGTGTGTAAAAGCGTCTGTGTGTAAAAGCGTCTGTGTGTAAAAGTGTCTGTGTAAAAGTGCCGTGTGTAAAAGCGTTTGTGTGTAAAAGCTTTTGTGTGTAAAAGTGTCTGTGTGTAAAAGCGTCTGTGTGTAAAATCGTCTGTGTGTAAAAGCGTCTGTGTGTAAAAGCGTCTGTGTGTAAAAGCGTCTGTGTGTAAAAGCTTCTGTGTGTAAAAGCGCCTGCGTGTAAAAAGCGTCTGTGTGTAAAAGCGTCTGTGTGTAAAAGCGTCTGTGTGTAAAAGAGCCTGTGTGTAAAAAGCGTGTCTCCATACTAACAACAGAAGACTCTGCTCCTCTACGCTCTCGGGCCATCCGTCGTCTAGTTGAAACTTCCGCCACCTCCTTGTGCGGTACTACTGGTATATCTAAGATCTCCACAACATACCTTGGGGGAATGGGAATCGATACCCCACCGTCACTAAACTGCGACACAGTACATGACCCTCAAAACTTATCCATTCGCCACCTAAGCCTGCCCCAGACCCCTTAAGCTCACAATGTTATTCAGCCTAGCCTGCCGGCTGGCTTTCGTAATATATACGGCATGTAGTGCGCGTGTCATCAGTGCTGGGGGCGGGGGCTTGTGATTCTAATCGCTTTATACACATGTAATTACCGGCGAATAAAGATTGAAGTAAAGCTGCGCAACAAGCGGGGCCTAATGCATCCGCGTGGCACAATTGCTTCCGATGGACAAAGGCCGATGAAAGTGAAAGGTGCGATTTGAGCCGCCGAGGTTAATGCCGTCAAGGATGGCATTCTCCCCAATACTCAGCAAGTCCCAGGCTATCAGTGGCAAATCGTCACCTTGGGCAATGAAGGCACCTCTGCCCACCTGTGAACCCATGAGGCGCCAAGCAAAGTTTCGCATTTCTGACCTCTCCAGCGCCCTCATGACTGGCAAAACAAAAACGAACTCCTCAAACAGCCGGATGCCCTTTAGGCATGCCATCTTCCAGCCCCAGATCGGCCAAATGCCGTCCTTCACAGTGCCCAAGAAAAGGTTCTTGGCCATCCACATTAGAAAGAAACACGTGAAGAGCTGCGCCATGGAAGCCACCACAAGAAAACATATAAGGAACACTGCAGCAAGATGGGAGAAACTTGAATAGGCCGAGACATTCTCTATTGGCGGGAAACATACCACCATCAAGAGAAAGAAAGGTCCGTAGCTCAAGACCTGCAGAACCGAAGCAAGGCCTGCAGAAACAATTCCGAAGAGTTGCCTTACCAGCGGTGAAGCTTCGCCAATTGAGTGAATGTTCACTGGAACAATGGGCGCTTTGTCTGGCTCAAGGTCCTTTGCAGCCTGCACCGTTACAACAGCGTCACCGGATGGCTGAGGAGATTGATGATTTCGCAACCTTAGCTGCCAAGAGGATCCCCCTCCGCCTGTCAAAACTTTGTTGAGGTCGAAGCAAAGACCAAGAAAAACACCATACATTTGAGGGGGACACGGTCATGCGTGTGTTCCGTGCGCACCCCTCTGAAGTCTTCAATATTCTTCGAACTATTTACGGCACCCTTATATATGTATAATTATGAATATATTGCCTCACATTCCTGCTCAATTCTGTTGCGCAATTGGATTTTGATGACGTTGCACGCTTTCGTTCATGTGCAATCGCGTACGTAATGATTAACGCGCGTTGCTGCATGTTGCTGTGGCAGCCTGTGGCATATTCAGACGAAGGTCTTGGCAAGAAGGGACTGCAAGGAGTTGGCCTCAAAAAGGAAGGTGGGTTTGATTCCTGTGATGCCAAGCGGATTCAGGGCAGCTGCCAATGCTCGGGATGCCTCCACGCCTGACAGTGAGTCCAGTCCCAGCTCATCAAACTCGGCAGTGTCTGTTAGCCCCTCGCGCCCGTTGGGTAGAAAACGGCTGAGGGAATCAATAACCGCCTCCTTGATGTCCGCTGAAGATGCTTGCGGCACTTTCTTCAGTGCGGCTGCTTGGGGTGCAACAGTAGGAAGCACAACTGCCTCAGGCAATATTGTGGGCACCTCAAGCTTTGAAAGGATTGCGTTCAAACAATTTGCTTCGAACAAGAAGGTAGGCTTGACACTCTTGACACCGAAAGGGGCCAAGGCAGCTGCCAGCGCACGAGATGCTTCCACCCCTGACAAGGAGTCGAGCCCCAGTTCATCCAACTCTGCATCATCTGTTAAGCCATCAAGGCCATTTGGCAGGAACTTCTGCAAGGTCTGAACCACGGCACTTTTCACATCTGCAAAGCTCTGGCCCTGGTGCGACGACAAAGCAACGGTCTCCGCAACCTTCTTCTGCTTCTCCCCCCAAACTTCTCGCATGAATCCTCGATGATAAGGGCTCTCGCCAAAGTCTTGCCTCACCTTATTCCAATCGAACTGCGTGAGGCAAGCCACAGGGCAACCTGCTCCTAAGGTAGCCTCCAAAGCCAAAAATGCCTGATCCCCTTTCCAAGGTCTAAAGATCGAAGTGCTGCCCTCGGGCAAGGCAGAAGCCATGCCAAAATCCGCCCATGGGCCCCATTGTAAAGATAGTGTGGCTCCAGCAACTGGTCCAACCACATCACCTGGCCAAAATGCACGGCTCATGGCATCAAGAGCTGAATTGGCAGCACCATAGGCTGTCTGCCCCATGTTCCCCAAGCAACTGGTGACGGAAGAGAAGAGCCACAGATGCTTCAAGCGCTGAGCAGCATGCTCAGTGCTGGCTGAGCGCAAGATGTCCAAAAGCATTGCTGCGCCATCTACCTTTGGCTTCATTGTCATATCCAGGGTGCTGAAATTTTGGTGTGTGAAACGACCATCATGCAAAACCCCAGCCAAATGTGCAAGGCCAAAGGCATCTGCAGATCGCAAGATTTGAGCCATTGGATTGGGGTCTTGGCCCACGTCACATTTACAGAGTTGAACTTTGGCCTGCGTTTGAGACAGGGCCTGCCACAATTTGGAGTTCTCCTCTGGCACCTTCCCTGCGCGAGAGGCTAGCACCAGCAACTTCACGCCATGACCCGTGAGCCATTCTGCCGTCATCAAACCCAAAGCCCCTGTGCCACCTGTGATTCCAAAGGTTTCCGGCAAGCTAAGCTCTGAATCGCATTTCTTGAGCGGGAGTTGCAAGCTTTGCAACGTTCGGAGCTTCCGAACAGGTGGAACAAGGAGAACATCCTGGACCTCTTTGGCGTGCAGGGTGAGTTCGTCTGCAAAGCTGTTGAAGATTTGCACACTTTCGAAGTGCTGGCTGCTCGCAGAGTCTAGATCGATGCACCTCAAAGAGATATCAGATCTCAACTCCTGCCTGGCGGACCGGGCTGCTCCCCACATTGCTGCAGCTGGCATGCCGCGGAGGTCAATCTCAGACCCATGAGCCCCAACAGACAGAATCGCAGCCTTGCACGGTCCTTTTGGCAAGGCACGTAGCCACTGAAGCAAGGCATGTGGCTTTGCCCGGGTGTCAGCCAAGGTTTCTTGAAGCTGCCGTGGCTGCGATGGCTCTGCTATGAATACAAACACAGTTGATCCCAACTCCATCTCAGGTGGAAGAGCCGATGGATCCCCTACTTTAGCTGTGGATCCGCGCTGTGAGAGAGAGGATGCCATCTGCAAGGCCGAATCGCCACCAGACACCAAGAAGTTCTGCACACTTTCTGACTGACTTTCATCAGTTGCAAGCCACCTGGCTTCATACGCATCAGAATAAAGGTCTTGGCGTTGCCACTGGCTCTCAGCTGGATCGCACGGCCAGCAAACCTTGGGTGCGAGACTGGTCGGGGGCAGTCTCGCAACAGGTCCTTCACCAAGCGATCCTGCAAAGGTCAACCCAATACCACACGAAAACAACCCAGCAGCTGCTTCCAAAATCGCACGCTCAGCCAAGTCTGAAGACACGACCCGGCCATCTGCCGGGGAGCCCAAACACACTGTGAAGACTTGCGGTGCAACTTCCATGCACCCGGAGAAAAAAGATGCCACTGCAGGGGAACCTAGGCAAATTTCCATCACAACATCACACTGCAGTGACTTCACTGCTGAAGTGAGCCCATCAAACTGCTTGCACTGAGCCAAGGAATTCTGGAAGTATTGATCGCTTGGCCTCTCAGACAGCAAGCCATGCTGAGCAGACGCCACAGGCACGGTTGGCGGCCAAAAACTGTTCACTACATCACATCGCTCAGAAGCCAATTTGATGCCATCAAACGGCCGGAGCACACCTGCTGTTGTGAAGCTGGCAACCTCTCCTGCTATGCCCTGTCCGCAAATCAGAGATGGCACGACACCCAAATCTTCAATGAAAGCTGCAGCAGCACAGTGCAATGCTGTAAAAGATGCTGCCTCAGCGGAGCCGCCATGGCCAATCGTTGAGAGCTCCTGGCAAAAGCCAAACAAAATGCGGGACTTGCAGATACATGCAGCAAATATCTCAGAAAGCACGTAGAAAGAAGACTTCGATACTTTTGACAGGACTGGAATTTGGCGTTGAAGCTGATCAAAGACATGGAGTTGCATACGCTAGATCTCGGGTGCTTATTTGCATGAATTTTGTCACAATAAATGGCAAACAAAAATACAGGATAATACAGGTGCAAGAACCATCTGCACTCAGGACCCTTGCTAGGCTGCTAGGCTTGATTTGCCATGCTTCCATCGATTACGTGCGTCCTCCATCTTTTGTCGCATTCCATGCCATGGCAGCGGCTCAGAATTCCCTTTGGGAGCCATTGCCTGTAGCAACCGAAGCGTTGCAAAAGCGCTGTCGCCGACACCGTTGAGCACCAGGGCCAACCTCCTGCAAAGAGGTACACGACCAGTATAGAGGCTGGTGTACAAAACCTGAAAATGTCTCAAATCATGAAGCTTGGCTTAGCTTATCCGGAGTCTGAATGTGGATGACTCAAAGGTCCTAAGATGGTCTTCTCATTACTATTCCTGCTCCGACAAGCCGACAAGCCCTGCCAACTCACCTCTCAATTTGCACCCCGGCTTATGTGTTTCTGATGTTTCTGGCTTCAATTTGTTCTTCATTGGCCTGAGGTCCCCCAAGATCCCCCAGGCACGATTTCCCAAACCCAAGCTCACCCGGGCACTGCAGGTTCCTTTTCCTTTCCTTTGAAGATGCTTGAGGTGTGCATATCTTTCCAACAAACTCCGGGATGCTAGAAGCAACCACAGCTTGCCGTTGAAGGGGTTGAGATTGAATGAAACTTGGACGTACAGCTTTCAGCGCTGCTGCTCTTGCAATGCTTTCGAGTTGACCTGGATATCCATGTTCAGAGGTCTCTGTCACCCAAGCCTGCCAGGGAAAAGCCGCCGGATCGCAAGGACGAAACACAATGGAATTGCACAAGCAGCAAAATCGACAAGTCCTAGATACAGGATATATCTGGATATTGTTCACAAAAGCCAAAGCCAAGATTCCCAACAAAGCATTCGAACGCATCCAGTTAGAGCTTCATGATTTCAAAATAAAATGTCAGTTTGCACATTAAGCACACCAACATGGATGTAGTAACATGCAACAAATGTAAAACACATTATAGCTTTTATATACTTTCATTAGCTTTCCACGTTCCATCCGTGCACTGCAGCATACTGCAACCATACCATACGCATAAATCCGGCCTTTTCACAAGACCGAACAATATGCATAGTCCAAGCATGCTTCAGTGGAATCTGTAATTTTACTTCTACTTGTTCCTATGTGCTGAAACATCTGAAACAGGGAACACATGCAAACACCCGCAATCACACATCGTTTTTTCCTTCAGTTTTACTTCCCCAAATAATTCTTGATCTCCCATCGGAGCCAATTTAAAGGGTAACCATCCTTGTGGATGTGGTATGATGCGGTCTGGAATGGCGTAGGAGGGGTGGTGTGTTCATGCAAGTTGCAAAATAAAATGCAATTTCCCATGAGTGCTGAAACTTTTTGAAGGATGCTGGGAAATGCGATCTGTGGTTGCTACGTCCTTTATTCAGTTGCGGTGCCGGTTGGGGAGAAGGAAGATCAAGAAGCCAGTGCTTAGAGGGGAGGAACAAGAACAGAGTGCGCGAGGTCATGAGCGTGTACACTCTGGCAATGCATGTAACATATCTCCCTCTCTGTGTGTATCTTATCTGTTTGAGCGTGCTTGTTTGACCCTCCAGGATGCACAGCCTACTTGCCATTTACACAACTCGCTTGAACCCTTCTAACGCCGTTTCCTTGCTTCAACTAACGACCTTGCAATCCCGGCCTTGATGGCTTTCATTCCAAGCTCCCAGTCACGTGACACTAAGGGAATCATTACTGCTCGCGAGCTTCGCGCATTCGACTTCCCCGTTTCCTTAGGTCTTGGCAAGATCAGTGCGGCACTGCATCGTAACATCGAAAACAGGTGTGGCATCTTGAATCTTGTAGCTGTATCGAAACGTTGAACCAGATTGAACCTACAAAGCTTGGAATTCGTGGCCTTGGCCTCTTGCAAACTCATCCCCCAGAGCTCTGCTATGAAACCAAATACCGACATGTACCGACGAAGATACACGCATGCAAAACATTGAAATGCCTGCTAGATTAGACTAGACTACGTTAGAGCAAAACTGACGGAACAGAGAGCCCAACCATCGATTGATTAGTCCATCTGAGTAAATCTGTGCCTTAATTCGACGAAACCGAATCAGCCGCTCCCACAAGTTGCTTGCACTATGTTGCATCACATAATGTGTCAATGCTTTGTCCATGTGCTCGTACAAGAACCAGTTATTGAAGCATGTGCCAGGTGCATCCGCGTATATAACAAAAGCTTGTTGGATCTTGTTGGTATGTTGATGAAAAGCTACATTGCTGCGTCTGTCTATGCAATGGGTCCAACATATATCAAAATATTGCAAAGTACAGTAGCGTAAAACCGCATAGTCTGGTCGAACCTACTGTAGGAACACACTGCAGTCTAATGTGATGTGATCATGGGGATGTGGGGCAACGGCAATGTATCTCAACAAATGAAATGAACTGCAATATGCTGCTATCAAGAGCGCCATGAAAGAACAACATGCATCATTTGTAGCGTGGCGCTGCCGTTGAATGAAATGAGATGGGATGCGACGATTTGAAAAGAAGAGCATGGCTGGACTCCTTCACGTGACGCTGCACATCTGTTTTCAACGTTGTATCAGACAGTAACTTTTGCAACGGTCAGCATTACAAAGCTCTGTGCCCTCAACACCCCCAAACAATGGAAGGAAAAGGTTGGACAACACACATGTAGCTTGCACATTGCTTGCACAGTGCATTTTATCCTCACACGTCGTGTGCTTTCATAGCATCACTCATTACGCAACCATGCCTTGGAACACATGCACTGTTTAGACTTTGTGACTAGCACAATGTACAGACCAGTGCAATATAACAAAACCCGGACATCTTGGAACCGGAAGTCAAGTCCCAAGCGTCTGAGGAGCAAAGCACTGCATTGGCATTGGAGCCACCGAAACCAAAACCGCTCACCTTGCAAGATCTTGCAAGTAAACTTGAATTGAACACATGCGTGCAAACTGAAAACGTGAAGAAACCTCGAGAAGTGAAACAAGAATAAGCAAGACTGACTATTGCTGCTTCAAAAGCCTCCTAACATAATTGAGCAGGCAGCAGTAACGGTGTGACAGAAACTGCTAGACTAGACGCTGGTTGAGATTAGATGCTCACAATATCTGACAATACATGACAATACAATAATAATGGTGTTGTTTCAGCCCCAAGAATCAGGAAGGCCAATTACTTGACCAACTAGTAGCAAAAGACGCTCAAAAACTGACACATGCGTGGAGGCTTCTGCAGGTGGGTTCCCGCTGTCAGAGTAGTTTGTCTTGAAGCCTTTCACATGCTCATATCATCTCATATCACATATCTGTATGAAATGTCATACCTAATATGAATCTGATTGTGTACGTTGCATTTTGGGTCAAACTGCCAGGATGGCAACAGTGGACGTTGCACCGGAAAATCCCGGGCTTGTTGTTCTCGTTTCACCCTGCTCAAGCCCCCAAATCTACAGAACAATTGGCTACAGAGTTCGCAAAAACACTCGGATGCATTAGGTCCATGATCCGCCATATTATGCCATGCATCGCGGTTGAGGAAAGCTTGATGCCCTGTTTCTGAAACCTGCTCCTACTGCAAAGAGATACTGCAAATAGAAAACTTATCCCACCAGCCCATGACTGCAACGTAGATGAGGGGTACTACCGTGAAGTTTTATGAAGTTTTCACATGATTGGTAATGCAGGCCCCCGCAAAGACCTTGCCAAAAGGTAGCTCTCGCGAAACAGACAGACACGGACAACAAAAGCATATGCCGAAAGACATTGCTCTAAAAACATGAGCAGCGGAGTGTTGCATCCGTTGTGGAGGCGAGGCGCCCAGGTGGGCGAAACTTTTGAACCAAGCCAACAGCCAGCATAAAGGCCAGCATAGTCCACAAACTAAGCAAACAAAAACAACAAAACTATCATGAGAGAAACCCCCAGCAACAACCCCAAGCCAACAAAAGAGACCAAGCAGAAAGCGACCGGCATACCCCGAAATCCCCAGCGAAGACCCAGCAAAGGCGGTTCAAAACTAAAGAAAAACCCATTTCACAGAGCGGGTGACCAACCTGGTCCAACCTGCTTCAGAAAATTTAAAGAAATGCTCGCATGACCAAGAGCAGCCTCACGACACTTAAAAAAACACAATAAACAAAGACCTGTGCAACAACCCATGGAGATCAACAAACTAGGCAACAAAGATAAACGACCCAAGTGTCCCAGCAAGGGAACCCAAACCCTCAGCACTGTCTTCATGCAGGGTGGACAAGGTCTCGTGAAAGAACCTCTGTACAAGGTCTCTTCACAAAATCTCTGCCGAGAATCTTCGCAAACAATCTCATACAAGATCTTCGTACAATATCTCTGCGTAGGATTTTTGAAAAAGTCCCTTATTTGCAGGAACTCTGTAAAAGGAACGTGTTGCACACTCTCCCCAGGGCACCTCTGCACAATGGACCTGCACACAAACCCTCGCACACACACAACCTGTCGGGAAGGCCTCTGATAAAGACCGCTTCACACCGCTTCATAAGATCTGCCTGAGGCATCTGAAAAAATTCCGTCTCCCAGATCTCTGTAACTATAGAGGATCTCTTTGGATCTTTGTTCCAGGACAATGTGAACGATCTCTGCTTAGGATCCCTGAAGGAAATCCCTTGAAATAAGGAACTCTGCACACATGGGCTTGCAAGGGCTCTTTAGAAGATATCTTCAAGGGATATCTGCATAAAAGCTCTTTCAGAATCCTCGTGAGTATCTGCTTGTAAATGCAAGTGGAAGTGTGATGTACAGTAAGTGATAGTGTAAGTGTTTTTGCGTGCTTGAGTTTCCGAAGAACCCTTCAGGACCACCCTCTCTCACTGTTTTGTTGTCTGGGAACATTTTCTCTACCTCCCTCTCTACCCCTGCCACTGTGGGCCTAAAGTGTGAGTATGCACTTCCTCTTTGGTCTGTAGGATGCCTCCACTCAAACTTATGATTCTGAAAGAGGCTTTGCATGATAGAATGAACATATTCTTGGCATTGTGAAGGGGAGCAACTGAAGGTATCACGCTTGCTCACCGGTTTGTTACCCGCAGGCTCAGGGGTCCTAATCGAAATTGAGAGCCTCATCACAGGAATCTCCAGAGTGGAATGCGATGAACAGCTTTCAGCGTGAGCCTAGCCTGCCCTATGTGTAACACTAGGTCGCGAGACTTGACCATTCACATGTATATATATATATATATGTATGTATGTATGTATGTAATTATGTATATGCAATTAATTGTAATTAATTGTAACTACTTGTAATTAATTGTAATTAATTGTAGTGTAGTTATATGTATATAAATATATTTAATTCTATGCAATTATATTTAATTATATGTATATGTGTATATTGTATATGTGTGTGTAACGTATATGCATATGTATATGTATATGTATATGTATATATAATTATATATTATAATTATATAATATTATATATATATGTGATATCATTGACCCCATCAAAAACTCAATTGTCACTGGGAAGGATTTGCCCCCATCAATGCCGGCCAGAGACTGTCTACGCCAGTGTTTGGTTGTCTCTGTTGAGGACCACCCACCATAAAGGAATGATAAGGAATGGAGGAGACAATTTGTGTTGTGATATCATTCACATCTGTCTGTCCAATCTATCCATCCATCCGTCTTGATGTGCGCACAAGACTGTACTTGGCCCAGTTAGGGAAATTCAAAACCAGGAAACCCTAACAGACTTGCAACACCCCTCGCGTTTTGGAGACCCGCTTTCCAACCCTGACTCACGCGTCGTGTCTCCTCGTGATGAGTAACGTCTTCTGCAACCAATGAGGATCTTATGGGCACAGGAGGTAGGTGGGGAAGCAGGGCGCTGACTTCATCTAAACCGACTTTTTTGGCATCATCTGAGCCCAGGCGCTCAATACATCTAGACCCACCCCCCAGAAATGGGCATCAGGCTTCAATTCATTCATGATTCGGGAGTCCAGAGCGAGTCAGTGAGAGGCCCAAGGCAAATGCTTTCCGCGTAGGATTATCATCAGTGATGGGACGGTGGGTCAAAATAAACACATGAAAAGAAACAGATGTGTTTGTAATTTGTAGCGCTTCAGTGGTGCCTCTAATATCCTCTAATTATGACTTGCTTCTGCCAAGCCACACAGCCTGCCTGGGCCGAACCCGTGTCATTCAAGGGCTGACATTCAGTGACCACCTTGACGTGGACATCCTCCCAGTCAATGTGCTCGTTGAGCCTCAAGGGACGAACAACGCCACAAAGATATAAGCAGCAGCGCACCTGGTGGAAAGGCAACCCTCAGTGGAGAGTCATATGCATCTATACCATGCGAAAACATTTTGAAACCAAGTAATGGAGCAATGGTCTAATGATTCTAATGCTTGCCCAGCAACACTTTCAAATGAAGAGATGGTGGAATAAGCGATTGATGCAGGACAAGGACAAGCTTAGTCAATGAAGCAGCTCCAGCACCGCACTCCAAATGTCCAATGTTAGATTTGAAGCTGGCAGTGCGGAGTGCTGGCCTGCAGCATGGCACCAAAATATTAGACATACCGTGACCAAGCAGGTCCAAAGAGCATTCAAAATACACATAACATCCAAGAACCAGATTTGAGGTTGCATCAAAAATGCATCACACCCTATAATTTCCCACGCAGCAGCACTAAATTCCAAAGACCTCAAACAACAACCAAATAAAGATCTCATCTGAGTCACAGGTTTGCTAGCTGTGGATCATTCTGTGCACCACGTCCTCGCAGAGCCCTTCCCATAGCCACTATCTCGATAGGATCGCCCAAGGATGTGCCCGTGCCATGAGCTTCTGCATAAGTTGCATCTGCAGGGCTAATGCCTGAACATTTTAATGTGAAGTTGCAATGGTTCAAGCATGTTCAACTCTCAAACAGCTGTTTCATGCGCGCAATTTACCTGTAACAAGGTCTCTTGGCAACCCAACAAGTTCTGCATGTATTGGCTTTTGGCACCAGCCCTACCACACTTGTGCATGAAAAAAACGAGGTGGTATGTTAGACCACTTGCCACTTGTGAAGGTACGCCGCGTACATATTGGCCTGATCCCTTTCGCATGTTCAATTTTCATCGTCCTGACAGTCTCCCCACCTCTATGAGATGACTGCCATCTTTTCAATAACGCTAGCAGTATCAAAGGCGGTTGATTCGTGGCAAAATTGGTAGTTCATCTATCATCTGTATTGATTCATGTCACTGGGCAAAAACGCCAGCACCAACCGCAAAACTGGCGACTAAACAACTCTCCCTCTCTCTCTCTCTCTCTTTCAGGGCCGGTCTAGATTTCAACATCAGAAACCACTTGTCCGAAATTGAGTGCGGGTTCTGTGGGCCCATGAAGACATGCATTGATCGCTCTCTAGCAATCTGCATGGCACACAAGAAGCGCCAGCATAAATTCACAGAATTCTCGTTCTGGAAAGCTTGGTTGCCATGAGAAATCCAAAGAAAGCAGAGCTGCCTGCATCCATCCAGGCAGACGTCAGCAACGCTGCTTGAGACATTGGATTTGGCGCAGTGAGACCATTGGAGCGGCCGTCTTGGTTGGAAAAACTGCCTCAGCTGTGCCAACGACGAGGATTTAAACATTTTGAAGAACTCCTGTATGCAAAATGTCGCTTAGAAGAAACCGCCTGAAAGTTTTCATAGGAAAAATGCGCCGCTATGTTGACGCGAGTGCGCCCGCATGACATCACAGGACAGTGGATAAAATCCAGCACATACTTTTCTCGTGCAATAAAACACGCGTAATAGTAGTAATGATATGTGCGTTTGTGTGTGTGTGTCACATTATGTTGCAAATGCGCATCATATTCAAATATATGCAAAATGCGCACATGTGTATATTTGTTTTGTGATAATGGGTCATGTAGAATAAGACGTGTGTAATTGCCTAAATGCGTTTGGCATCGATGTTCGGGAAAAACTGGTAAGATTGATGAAACACGACGTGGAACTGGTAAGATTGAAGGGCAGCGGCCAGCGGCCAAACTAAAGAACCAGCTGTCAAAAACGGCAGAAAAAACAATTGCTTATGCTGAAACATGATGAAGCTATGCTGAGCTGAAATGACATATCCCCGGAAGGTATGTTATGGCCACAATGGGAGCATTCTTGTTATCTCCCGATTATCTCCCTTTGTTGTGCCTGTGATGGCCTGTTTTGTCTCATCTGGGAACTCTCTCTAGTCTCTGGGCTTCTCTGGACATCTCTGGACTGTGTTTAACCTTGAATGCCATGCTGGCTGCTTGCGATTAAATGATTAACCAAAAAAATGAAGGATCCCTGGAAGGCATGTTTTCTGGCTCAGGGTGGCCTCCAGTGGGCCACTTGAAAACAAGATGCAGCCTACGAACCCGAATGCAGTCACGTAGAACACTTTCTTGAAATAAGTTATTTGAACAGTCTTGTGCATGTGTCTCCTGTCACCGTACCAGTGCACTGTAGACTGTGGAATGCGGAAGAGGGTGGAGCGCAAAGTGTGGAGGTTGGAGTGCGACGTGTAGAGTGTGGAGTTTAAAGTGTAAACTGTGGAGTGTGGAGTGTAGAGTGTGGAGTGTAGAGTGTGGAGTGCACAGTGTGAAGTGCAAAGTGAAAATGTAAAGTGTGGAGTCTAAAGTGTGGAGTGTAAAGTGTAGAGTGCACAGTGTAAAGTGTAAAGTGTGGAGTGTAAAGTGTAGAGTGTACAGTGTAAAGTGTGCAGTGTGGAGTGTGGAGAGTGGGGTGTGAAAATGTGAAGTGTGGAGTGTGGAGTGTAGAGTGCAGAGTGTACAGTGTGGAGTGTAAAGTGTAGAGTGTGGAGTGTGGAGTGTAGAGTGCCGAGTGTACAGTGTGGAGTGTAAAGTGTAGAGTGTGGAGTGTAAAGTGTAAAGTGCGGAGTGTAAAGTGGAAAGTGTGGAGTGTAAAGTGTGGAGTGTAGTGGAGTGTAGAGTGTAAAGTGTAAAGAGTAGAGTGTAAAGTGTGGAGTGTAAAGAGTGGAGTGTAAAGTGTAAAGTGTAGAGTGTACAGTATGGAGTGTAAAGTGTAGAGTGTTGAGTGTAGAGTGTGGAGTCTGATGTGTAAAGTGTTAAGTGTAAAGTGTGGAGTGTAAAGTGTGGAGTGTAAAGTGTAGAGTGCGCAGTGTAAAGTGTAAAGTGTGGAGTGTGGAGTGTAAAGTGCAGAGTGTACAGTGTAAAGTGCGGAGTGTGGAGTGTAAAGTGCGGAGTATGGAGTGGAAAGTGTGGAGTGTGGAGTGTGAAGTGTGGAGTGTGGAGTGTACAGTATGGAGTGTAAAGTGTAGAGTGTGGAGTGTAGAGTGTAGAGTGTGGAGTCTAAAGTGTTAAGTGTAAAGTGTACAGTGTAAAGTGCGGAGTGTGGAGTGTAAAGTGTAGAGTGCGGAGAGTGGAGTGTGAAGTTTGAAGTGTGAAGTGTGGCGTGTGGAGTGTAGAGTGTGGAGTGTACAGTGTGGAGTGTAGAGTGTAGAGTGTGGAGTGCGGAGTGTAAAGTGTGGAGTGTAAAGTGCAAAGTGCGGAGTGTAAAACCCATCTTCTGAAAACGTCGCAAAAGTATCGCGACTGCCGCACAAAACGACTTATGACACGTTTGCATTAACACCGTGAACCAGGATAGGTTTTGCAACTTCCCTCAAGACACGGCGAGGCCACAGGAAAACCAGCGACTCAAGACGAGAAATGTTGGAGCATCAAAACGAGCATTTCGTGCGAGACTTCCTCCAAACTTAGCTTCAAAATGGACGTTTTCCTAAGTGTTTTCTAATGAACCTCAAAAATTGCTACCTCAAAATCGATGTTTCGTGCGAGGCTTTCGTCAATTTTTAGCACATCTCACAGCATGCCACACCTGCCACGCCATTTGCACCGTGTCGCCACTTGACCTGATAATGCGATTCGCCAAAAAATGCAACGCGACGCGTTTGAAGTACTGCGCTTGACACGCAAAATGACAATGGATGTCTCCAAAGTGCAGCGCCTGCCACGCAAAATGCAACTCATCTTCTGAAAGCAACAGCAAAGTATTGCGCTTGCCACACAAAACGACTTTCGACACTGTTTGCAGACACGTGAGACTGTCACGAGGCGCCAGGCCTGCCACGCAAAACCACGCTACAACTTGATTTGACACCTTGAAACAGGATAAACAGGATAGGTTTTGCAGCTTCTCCCATCGACACAGCGAGGCCACAGGAAAACCAGAGACCCGAGACGAGACATGTTGGAGCATCAAAACGAGCATTTCGTGCGAGACAGCCTCCAATTTTCATACTTTGTAGCTTCAAAATCGACGTTTTCCTACCTATTTTCTGATGAGCACCAAAATTGGCTACCTCAAAATCGATGTTTCGTGCGAAGCTTCCGTCTATTTTCATCACATCTCGCAAAATGCCAGGCCTGCCACGGAATTTGCACCTTGCCGCTACTTGACGCAGCCCTGACAATGCGACTCGCAAAAAACACGCAGCGCGACACGTCCAAAGTGCTGCACCTGCCACGCAAAATGAAGATGGGCATGTCCAAAGTGCTGCGCCTGTCACGAAAACTGCAGCGCATCTTCTGAAGACGACGCGAAAGTATTGCACCTGCCACACAAAACCACTTTCGACGCGTTACGAAACACGTCTGAATGTCACGAAGTGCCACGCATGCCACGCGAAACGAAGCAACTCGACTTTTCAAACCTCCCTTACCATAGGCATGGCGATACGGCCCTCACGCGGACAGGTGCGAACGGTTGCGAACGGTGGCGGACGGTTGCGAACGGTTGCGCGAAGTCGAGCCAACACACCCTCAACCACCAGGCCCCCAGAGTGAACCGGGAACCCTTGCTACGCATTCGGGAAAAAGTGTCCCAGGAAGGTGTGTTAAAGGCACAATTGCGGCACTTCTTGTGTCTCCATGTGTTGGGCTTAGGACGCTATCATATCTTAAAGCTATGCCGTAGTCCATCTAATGTTGGCGCTCGGTTAAATTCAAAAAAGTTGACTATTGGGACCCTCGGGCCCATGGTGGCCGTGTGGGGGTCTTGCTAGTTGACGCTGCTTTCGCCACCACCTTCGGGCTCATAGCCCCCCAGGAGTTCCCAACTGGTGTCACCCCGCATGGCCATCATGGTCCAATTCACCCGGGTCACGTTCACGCTGGGCTCCTCTCCTTTGACACTGGCTGGCAAGCTCTGAGTCTGCTTCGATGGGGGGAGACTGGTTCCTTCTTGACTGATGGTGACGTCGGTGCCCTCCGGGACTGGTCGAGGAAATGCCAGCTCAGCTCCGCCAATCTGTCAAGGCACAACTGGACTCGCCAGCCAAGCCCCAAACGCCTACTGCCAAGAAATCACCCAAGAAAGCAAAGAGTACTCCAGTGAAAACCCCGCAGAGCAAGCAGCAGACTCCTTTGCAAAAAAAACGCACAGCATCGGGATTTGCTACACCTGAGAAAGGAAACAAGAAGGGCAAAGCGGACATTGATAGCAATGAAATGACAGGTGGTGTTGTCTCCGTGTTGGCAACCTTGGCTTTGGGAGAGCCACGGTAGCTGTCAGACAGATGATGGAGAAGTGGGAGACTTGAAAGCGATGTGAGTACCAGAGACTTCGGCTTGTGGGGCAGCAAATCCTTGATGTCGAGGATGCAAGGGCACGCGTCCGGCCTGGACATCCGGACATTCTGGAGCACCTCGCCAATGCTTGAGCAGCACTCTTCTGCTTGCGGTTGTCGGTTAGTCCTCTTGTCGACACTACGATACCGACGCTGTGTGGGCTGCTGCTTGTACCCACGAGCTTGTCGGTGGCCGGAAGCCTGAGCTTTTGCTTTCCATCCCGCTGCATAAGCCTCACTGAGCTCAGCAGCTGTGGCTGTCTCAAACTCCTCATCTCATCGTCGTCATATTCCAGTCTCTGATCCTGCCAATCGTCATACTGCTGGTAGGAGCCACCATCTTGCCAGTCATCACCATACCAGGCATCTTGTGGATCCCAATCTCGATCGGATTGGTCTCGGCCTGAAATTTCACCTCGGGCCATTTCCTCTTCCAAGTCTCCGCCATCCGGATCATCCTCTTGAAAATCATCATCGCCGTAGTCATCCTCAGCATGGTAGACCCGTCGGCCTGGCTTCGAGGAATAGGCCTTTCCAGAGCTCCTACAGGTGGGTTTCCAGCCAGAGGAGCTTCCTCGATCGGTCCCTGACTCGGTGCGCAGCCGGCTTGCGAGGTTCTTCTTCATGGATGCGAGCACGTCTGAGCCTCAGGACTCGCCCGATCTTGTTGGCAACGTAGCCGCCGCCGGCACTGAAGAACACATCCACGCGTTTCTTCCGGCTCAGCCCGGCACGGGCCAACATACGTTGGGCAAAGCTTTTGCCGCTAATCACAGTGCCTTCGTCTTCACGCAAATATTCTTGGCGGAATCTCTTCAATGTGGCGATGAAGTTGGCCACGCTTTGACCTGGTTGTCGTCGGCACTGGAGGTACTGCTCTTGCTCTTCTATGAATCTTTCGTCAGCTCTGGTGCCGTAGGCCTCGTCCAGCAACCGAAGCATGCGGGTGAGTCCTCCCTCGCCAATCATTTCTGAGATCTCTAGCTGGTTCAGGATCTCCCTGGCTTCGCTCTTGCAAGACAAGTAGACCAGCATGCTGAGTTCTTGGTCTTCAAGCCGATAGAGCTCACGTTGTGCGGTCAGCACCCGCTTCCAATCCCGGTAATGGCTTCTGGAGCCATGGAATGTTTCCAGTTTTACTTGATGTCACTCGCAGCTCCTCCGTTGCAGCAGCAGAGGAATTCTCCGACTTAGGACGCCGCCTGGAAGGAGATCTTCTTTCTGGGGAGCCCTTGGTGGGGTCTTTGGCTGTTCCTTCCCCCTTGGGGTAGGGTGCAGCTCATCCTCCTCTCGGGCAGATTCTTCCGAACCTTCTTCTTCATATGTGTAGCTGTCATCCGTATCACCACCATCTCCAGGGTCATCTCCATCATCGTCACCGCCATCTCCCGGCGGAGCAGCTGGAGGTTTCTTCTTTTCTTTTCGTTGTTCTGGCCGTTCTCCTCAAGCGTCACTAGGTTTGCCGTCAGATGTCCCGGCGGGTGGCGTCCCGGACGGCGCAGCCTGTCCAGATGAAGCTGGCTGGCTTTGAGAGTTCATGGACTGCAAGACGGCCATAGGCGTGGTCATGTACCACTGCATACCATCACTCCAGCACCAGCTTCCTGATCCAGACATAGATGCCTGAGAGCTCATCATCGGGTTCATCACCATTGGGGACCCTTGCGTGCAGCAGGCATGTTGAAGGTAGGGCAGTTCACACATCCACCTTATCCTCTGGGGAATGACCTCACCGTTCCGGCGCTGCCGTTTGCCTTTCCCCTTGTCTTTCGGCAGGGGTTCTGGGAGCCTCCGCCTCAGCGCAGCCGGCGCGGCTTTTGGCCCTGGTTGTCGTGCAGTGGAAGCCGCTGTCTCTCTGCTTTTTCACGGCGTGCTTCCTCTTTCCGTTCCTTGCGTCGTGCATTGTTCCTGGCACGTCATGTCTTGCGGTGTCTCATCGTCATCATCAGGGACAGGAACTCCCACTCCTCCGGTCTCAGCCGGGGTTGTCACAGGCGCAGCCTGCGATTCCACAGGCGCAGCCCGCGTGGTGGTCGTAGAGGCCGTTGGCATTGGAGCAACTAGGCTCCGCTACCAATGTGGAGTTCAAGGGTGCAGCAGCAACCCCAAAAGCCGAAACAACGGTCGCAGCCGCGGCAACACAATCTTTAAGCAAATGCGGACGCGTCGGCCGAAGCTTGACATAGAAACGGCAGCAGTGCATGCAAACACATCAACAGGCATGCATCACCAAGCAATCAATGTACAAGCACCCTCAGGATTTCACAGATGGAACCTTCACATATTATGCCATTGCTTGCTGCAACCAAAGGAAATCGAAAAACATCAAAGTCCCTTCTTCGCCGATGGTCATGGATGGATTGGATGGTCATGGTGCGCCTTAGGTTGTGCCAGGCCTTGCACAACCTGCAGGGCTTAGGTGCGAAGGAATGCGCTTTTGGATGCTTTTTGCCACCTGCGCTTGATTGATGCTAAAGAAAACCAACCTTCCAGGAAGAAAATTCTATGGAACCCTGAACCCAAGCTCATTGACTTCAAATGCACAAAGGCTGCACGCCGCTGACCATTCGGACCACCAAGGGCACACCTTCGTTTTCTTTTCGCGAGTAATCAAAGCGGTTTCTATGTTAAGAAGCCGCGCCGCTTGCAAACATGAGAAGAAGCACCCCCCCAGTAGTCTCTCTGATAAATTTTACCAGCCAAGAACACCCAAATTTGCGCTGGCAGTTGGCATATTTTGTTGGCATTGTTGGTATAGCTAGTTGATAGAACCTTCGCATACCAACCAAAAGCCTTTAACACCACATGGTGACAGCTTTTGGGCTTGAAATTCTGTTACCCACCAAAAAGCAATGCAAAAAGCGGGTAAGGCTGTAAATGCGTTGAAGTGCAGGAGCTTAATCAGAAACCTGACAATCAATCTGTTTTTTGCTCAGCCTGTTTTGGGCACACCGGAACTTGCTTCAATTAAATGTGCGTTGGGCTGGTGTAGTCTGACATTTGAATCAAGCACTTCTGACTGTAACTGTGCGCCATTGCGGGGGAAAATGATACAAAAAAATGTGACTTGCAAAAACCATTCATGTCATCTTTGTGGCAATTTACAAGAAATCCAATGGGAAACACGATGAAAAATCATAACTTCCGGCGGATCATTTGATCAGAAAGTGACAACCTCCAAAGGAAAGTCAATGCAAAAGTTGATGAACAAAACAGAGTTTCAAGTCTACACCCAAAAAATCAGATTTTGAAGGATACTCAAAAAAATGATATAGAAATTACAGTAAATAATATCTTCCATGCTTCCTTTCCGGGAAATAGCACACCATGCGCGAGGGTCAAAAATTACAACATCGATCTCAATCTAAAATCAACGATTGTGCATGCATGCGCCGAGAGCGAGAACTGAACAATGAGGCTTCAATGAGGATCAAAAGTAGGAGACTGCTTTGCGTAGAGGGCAAGCACACACCATCAATAGAATTCAGAAACGATTGCACGTGCAGAGCTTAAAAAAATAAAAAAACACATCATCGTTGTGAAATAAGAAACAAACAGCCGTACATGCGCAGAGCTCAAACACACTTCATCCGTCAGACTCGCAACAGAGACCCAGAAACCAGAACTGCGCATGCACAGCCGGATATTCAAACAGCTGCATCCAAACAACACCTGGATGCTTCAGCTGGCTGCAACAATCCGACACCTCAAAACCAGGCTGCGTAGTAATGCATAGCATGTCTTGTGAGACCTACTGATCCCTACCCCTATAGAGGGGGAGGGCGGGGGGGGACAAAACCAACCTGTCGAATTCCACTTTTTTTTGCTTGGAACCCCTGAGATAGTGATCCAACCCCTCGAATGGAATTGTAAAATAACATTTATTAACGAGCCTTGGGCACTGGTTAGAAAATACTTGCCCTTAGCTCCGGAGGAGCTAAGCGCAAGTATGATCACGGCAGCGCAAATTTTTGGAGGGATGCCATCCCTATACACATGTGCTGCTTCAGTCTGACATGTGCTTAGCTCCTCGGAGCTAAGCGCAAGTGCAAGTATTTAATTTTCACCTGCTTGCCAATGACATGGAATGATGAGGAATATTGATCACTGAGATTACATGATTGCAAAAATAGAATTTTAAACTGAAATTTCAGTACCACTCCCCCCCTCAAATTCCATTTTTAAAAGGGTAGGGATACCTACTGTAAAGGTTACCAAATCCGCGCGTGCCATAGCGTTTGGCATGGTTTCGCGTGAGGGCCCTCTCCCTTAAAAGTCTTCAGGGATCATGGTTCATTTTGCCCGCGACCTTTTTGTCGTTCGCGTAGGTTTCCTATGCTCGACCCCTCGCGCGATGACGCAATGGTTGTTTTCCACAGGATTCGTCTGGACCAGCTCCGGCCCGCAAGAGAAGAAACACTTGCAAACACGAATCGAAACTATGCGGCAAAACGAAAAAATGTCACCGAACAATGACGAAACAACAGGCAACAAATCAGAGTTTTGCATTCAACATGAAAGATATGATGCGATGATCCAAGAAGAAGGCTTTCGGTAAGCTTTCGGGAGATTCGGATGCATTTATGATTCATGATCATTTATGTGCGTTTGTATTTTTTCCCATCTTGCTAAGTTTCCTGGCTAGCTGCTATTGATGCATTTTTATGCATTTGCTGTTTAAGCAAGACTGACCAGAAGCATAGGCTTGAACAACCGGATGGCAGCGCATCCCTTGAAGTACTGAAGCGCCGCTGCCAGCACTATACTGCAAGCGAGATGCCTTTCAAAGCAGCATATGGAGCAGCCTTCTGAGGACCCCTGCTGTACGTTTCGGCCTCCGCAAGCATGATGCACGAGCATCCTTCTCCTTCAGAAAGCAAACAATACCACCAGTTAGCGTCCCACGATCCACGAAGCAAAAAAACGAAACGGTTTCAAGAACGCGGCCTCCTACAGCCTGCTGGATGCCAAATATTGAACCCAGGTCTGACCACAACATATCCCAACAATCAAATACACCATCTTGCTTGCCCGCAACCCTTCTCCTCTCACATAGCCGTCAGCCCGGTTATCTCCAAATCGACATCGTCCAGTTGGGGAAAGCATTCCAGCTTCTGCAAACGCCTCGAGTTAGCCAGCTGTGTTGAGGCCAAAGGGCCGTGGACAAAAGCTAGCCAGCCAAGGTTCATAAGGAGAGAAGGCAAAGGAGGTTGAATAAGAACGAAGGAAAGGTGACTTCATCTTGGACGCATGTCTTCTGGGTGACGCGCCCATCGGGGAGGATGCTCTTTATCGCACGTGCAAGCGCAGCAGCGTTCATATTACAGGACTCAAAGATAAAAGTTGCTCCTGGAATTCTTGGAGTGCCCGCCTTCCATTTGACATGAACCCTCCTCAACTCCCCGGATCATTTCGAATAGAAGAAATTAGTGTTCGAGCAATTCAAATAGTGAAATTTCTTCTATTTGAACAATCCCTCGTATATATAAAAAGAACAGTGTTTTTTCCCCAACTGCGTAAGCTAATGGGGTCTTCAGCCCAGAATAGGTCCGGTGTGCACTGGTGCAGGCGCCGGGTCAAGTTCAACGAGGTTCCGGAGCAGGTTCCGGAGGTTCCGGAGAAGGTCTGGGAGGCTTTGGTGCAAAGCCAGGCCCAGTCCAACAGGGTTCCGGAGAAGGTTCCTGAGAAGGTCTGGGAGGCTTTGGTGCAAAGCCAGGCCCGCTTCAACAGGGTTCCGAGAAGGTTCCTGAGAAGGTCTGGGAAGCTTTGGTGCAGAGCCAGGTCAGGTTCAACAGAGTTCTGGAGAAGGTTCCGCAGAAGGTCTGGGAGGCTTTGGTGCAGAGCCAGGTCAGGTTCAACAGAGTTTCGGAAAGGGCTCCCAAGAAGGCCTGAGAGGCTTTGGCCGAAGAAGGTTTTGGAGAAGGTTCCGGGAGGCTTTGGTGCAGAGCCAGGTCAAGTTCAACGGGGTTCCGAAGAAGGTTCCGAAGAAGGTCTGGAAGGCTTTGGTGCAGAGCCAAGTCACATTCAGCAAGGTTCTGGAGAAGGCTCCGGAGGAGGTGGAAGGCTTCGGTGCGGAGCCAGGTCAGGTTTAACAGGGATCCGGAGAAGGTTCTGGAGAAGGTTCCAGGAAGCTTTGGTGCGAAGCCAAGTCAGGCTCAACGGGTTTGGGAGAAGGTTGCAGAGAAGGTCCCGGTGCAGGGCCAGGTCAGGTTCCAACAGGTTCAACTGGTTTCCAGCGCTTGGCTTCGCAGCACGCTTCACAAAGATTTATAAAAATAAAACGTTGCGGCTGTTGGGGATACCGCCGAAGCTTATTTTTAGTTTTGGTTATAATCCGTGATTATCTCTGTGGGAAATGAACCATACGTTTTCAACATGTTTTTAACTTCTGACTCATTTTTTGACAATCGCTGAGGATGATCCCTCTCTAAACCATGCATTGTGAAGCATTGCAAGACAAGAAGAGTAAGACCGGTTCTTTCCAGTTTGCGCAAAACCAAATGAGAATGAGACCCAAACGAGACATTGTTTTGCAATTTGGGTTTTCCTATTAGGTTTCCATTTCGAAGCATTCCAATCAAATAGAAACAATGGTTACAGATTCGTTTCTGTTTGAACCGTCTCTGGAAAATATATGAAAATATCACAAAGACAAGTTTTTTTGAGTTTGGGTGATAAACCGTTAAAACTTCTGTGGGAAATGGACACAAAGTGTGCACATGTGTGCCAAAATCGACTTCTTTTTCAGAACGCATACGTCCGAGATCGTCCGAAACTGACAAAAGTACGTTCGATTTCCCGAGTGTGTCAAGATCGTCTATGAGGACCCCAGCGGCAGTACAGCACTGTTTGGGGAATAGACCTTCACTACAGTACTACATCTTTCAACAAAGGCAGGACTACACTGCAAAGCACTGATGCTCACATGACGAGCTAGAAAAAACTTCACTGCCCCAACTAACCTGTTCTAAGATGTTCTAAATATTTTTAAATTATAGTTACGGTTGATGCTATTTGTTGCTGCTGCTTAAATCTGGTTGGTCTGGAAAGGATGTCTGGGGAACGAGCTTCTGAGACCACTGGGGGCAGGGAGGAGGTACGACCGGGAAGTTTTCAAGTGATGGGCGGTTCCTGCCCTGCCACCGAGCTTGCAAAAGCAAGAGCAGCTCAAGCAAGCAGCTAGCTTTAGTAACTTTAGTGACTACCAAATAAATCGAAAGATTTGAGAGGTCTCCTAAAAACAAAGTCCCATTTCGACTCAATTCCGCATGAGAGGTTGGTCTGCCTGGCATTCTGCCACTTGTTATGGTCTGCCTCAAAATCTTCAAAAGACTACCCAGTTCTGGCTGGTCTGGCTGGACTGATTTGGACTCTGCTTCGCAGCCTCTGTCCAGTATGGGTTGAACTGCACGTTGACGCCCAGGACCAAGGCTCCGGTGCATGCGCTGTTGCGCAAGGCCGCCATCGCCATGTTACAGCACACTAAGGATGATGAACAAGCAGTGTCCTTAATTGCAATATTTTGCAATGCATGCGACCGTGGCCGTATAAGGCAGCATGACCGAGAAATGTTGAAACTCTGCATTGGCGATGGTATTGGGCCATTGGGCATTTGGCTGCAACAATTTGACACCACCCCGGCAACTAAGCATGTGACCACTGAAGCTGACGGCCCTTGCAAGTCAAAGATGTAGGAGACCTTCAGCCAATGCAGCATTGCAAGTGCTGTCGCAGTGCTGGCCGCAAGCAAGCTCTACCAGAATGCCTTGACGCCTTCTGACCCAGCAAAAAATCATAAAGTTCCTCCCGCAACTAAGAACTTGTAGCATGCACATGTAGAAACAATCACACGTGCATATTACAACATATCACACAGCATTAGATATTTAATGGCTCCGGACGCTTGGATGCTCATTCCAAACTCAGCAAGAAGAAACTGAGCTGTGTGTGCAACTGAGCAACCCTGTTGGAACAAATTGCAGTTGTCAAAGCAGGCCCAGTGTAGGCAGATGGGGGCCCAGCTTTCTTAATCACGATGTCTGTGAAGTCCACAGTGGTCACTCCAACATATACTCCAATCGGTGCACCCTTGGCTTTTGAAACACCGGCATCCTCCATTGCTTCCAGCGAATTCTTGACGCACAGGCGTTGCTGCGGATCGAGAATTTCGGCTTCTGACTGGCCCATGCCAAACGCCGGGGGATCAAAGCAAGTCACGGACTCTGCATCAAGGTATCCTGCGGTGCGAGGCGTGAGTGCCAGTGCTCAGAAATATCCACAAGCTGCATAAACATATCTTGAACCATAAGTCCACGTGCTTCGGCTGAGTGTACCTGAGCAAAACCTCTACTTCATTCTACTTCCAAACTCTTTTTGGTATACACCGTTGAGATCCGCTGAGCCGCAACAGGCACAAACTGCAATTGCAAATGGAGCTGACGCAGTGAGAAACGCAGTGAGAAATGCAGCTGGCCTGCTTCTGAGTAGCCCAGCGTCTCATATGCAGAACTCGTGTCTCGTGGCGCAGCTACTGGACGCCCAAGCGGAGGAAGCCGGACGCAATCCACAGCCCCAACGAGCCGTGACCACATCTGACGCAGGTCAGTGCTCGTGCCCAATTCGCCACCTCCGTGCGACAAAGAAATGCGAATACATTATTTATATGTAAATATATATATATATACTCATGATATTTTAATATCACACTCTATCATTTTCATCTCAGTGATACATTCTTGGGTCCATTCTTCCTGCTGATGGCCCATAGACTCTTAAAGATCTGAAAGTTAAGCATCTCCGACCGCTTCATGACCCCGTCAACAAATCTCCATATGGCATTCTGGGTTTGGAAAAACCACGTGGAAGAAGGATCGAACTACACAAGACATGAAATCATACTATGAATTCTCGTGTCATCGAACTGATGCGATTGCTGCTGCTATTGCAGGATTCCCAAACACCAATTCCAAGGTGCACCTGGAAGTGTGCATGCGCCACCCACCACTTGCACTTGCACGGCCCTCTGCGCCTGTATGGCCCCAACCTGTTCAACAAACCAAATGAGGAAACCAGATGCAACAAGTAGACTCAGAAACCAAACAAAGCTGAAGAACATCAATACCTACACCGACAAAACAAAAAGATCTGACAAGACACGTGTACAAATACAAGGGAATAGGTTCATGGAAACAAGTGTATACTGCCCATGTGTATATACATATGCCTAGCATGGCCACACAGAGACATTATAGAGAGATCTGAGATATGCATATGTCATACACTGGCTGGGAGCCAGAAAATGCCAAAACTGTGTCTGGATTATGCCAAGGCGATCCAAATGTTCGGATCACTGGCAGTTCGGTTTGGACCGGGGTCTGGCAGTCCGGATTCGGACCTTGGTCTTGTAGTTTGACCCACAGCCGCGTGTGCACACTGAGTGGGTACATGTTGCTAGTACTTGTAACGTGCATTCAGGTACCTCACTAGCAACAATTGCCAATTGCTCGTGGCACTTTTCGTTGCCAGGTGATGTTCCTTTGGGGCAGTGCAATTTTTTTGGCATCCCTTTGGAAGAGAAAGGGGTGTTGTGAGCGCTCATTTGGAAAGCTTCTGGAATCTTTCTAAGAGGGGCATAGACTATGTAGCCCCACCACGAACTGCAACTTGTGGTTCCTCTCTCCCTGTTCGGGAACCCTTCTGTGTTCTTCGATATTTGGCTTGGTCAAATGTGCTGTCTTTACGATCCTGACCCATCGACTACCTGACTTCACACCGGACCTACAGACCACCGCAAGCTACGCTGGATCCCGGCAAGGCGCAGGGTGAAGAGGTGATCTTTGTCATGGGTGTTAGCAGTAAAGCGAAAATTGTAAAACTTAAAATCGTAAAGAAATCTTTCTTGCGCAGTCAAACCACAAAACATCACAAAACCAACCAAGTAAAATGTTTTTCCTCAAAACATGGCCAGGGGATGCCAGGGGGGTGTGCGGCTTCGCACGCATTGTTTCCACACATGTGTGGGGTTTTCCAGTCACCTTGCCCCATTATGCCTAATTTGGATTTGGACCCTTTCTCTGCGCCTTTTTTCTTGGGGGGATACTTTCTGCCTCTCTTGGAACATAAGTTTTGTCTTCTTTGCTTTATTGTTGCAGTAGCAAGAGCTTTTCGTCTCTTCTGGTTTTGCTATGTTTTGTTTCATTCTGCTGCCCCGCCTTATTTTGACCGGGACTTGAAGTTACTCTTCACTGCGTTACCCATTTTATGATTCGATTTCTCAGCATCTGAAACATCAGGGGCACAGTATCCAGTCTGCCCCCAATTCATTGCTAAAGCAAATCCAACGCCAGCTAACAAGCTAGCTTTCGTGATTTTGTTGGGTCGAGGCCCTTTTCTTGGGCGTCTTGAGCTTTGAAAGGTGCAGTCCGGGCTTACTTTATTGTCAGGTCTCAGGTCGGAGCTTGATAAACAGTTTTTTGGGACTAGATGCAGTATCTGCACTTCCACCTTTTCCAGACAAATAAGCCAAGATTTCAGACTTCCTTCTACTGTAGGCTGGAAGTGCATCTAAATTGCACTTCCACTGTTTCACGATCTCAACTCTTGGGTCATCTACACCTAGACAGAGAGCGAGAGAGAGAGAGAGAGAGAGATAATGACACACACACACACATATATATATATACATATAAATATAATATATATAGATATAAATATGTCTATTAAACATTTATGTAATTATTTATAATATCATCATATGTGCGAATGCATATATGTATGATTATATGTATATGTGATTGTATGTATGTCATACGCAGTATATTATATTGATACATGTTTTGACAAGTGTTTGTGGAAGATTTCCCGGTGAGAGAGAGAGAGAGATATATATTATATATATATTAATATTTCATGATATTTCGCAACCCAGTGGACTCTCCAACTCTCAGTGATCCGCGCCTCTTCTGGCCCCTTGCGGACTTTGGGCTTTAGGCGGGCGACCAAGGAGGAACACAGCTGCTCTCCACTGACCACCTCTGGTGTCGAAACAGTTGAAACACCCAGAGCGACCTTTCAACTGTTCTCTACTTCCATATGGCTGCATTGAAATTCTGCTTCTGAATAGGTTGGGAACGTGATTGGGTTCCTATGCTGCTTTTCATACCACAGAGGTGACAGGAGCCTAAACAGCCGGCAAACAATGACCACTACGAAATCGATGTTGAAAACTTCAGATACGCACAAAAGTGCACAAAGTGTTGTGGCTCCAAGAATGACTGGCTACGCCCCTGCCGCATATTTCAAATCTGTTCAAATCTTATATACAACAATTGCGTGAAGACTTCAAGACGGAAAACGTGCGAATTTGCCAATAAGGCAGAAGGATGCATCAGGTGTCACCTCTTATCAAGGCTGGACTCACACACAGCCACACGAGCAGAAACAAAGCACAAATGACGCAACAAAAATGTAGATCATATCTGTAGAGAATGCATGAAATGCGTGAGACATCATGAGACCAGGGGATTCCCCAGCCATCCCCAGCCCTCTCACCAAGTCCAACTCCAGCCTCGAAGGCCAAAGTTGCAGGCAAGGTGATGGACAAAGCCTCCCAAATCTAAGCTATATGCGCTACATGGGTACCTTGCTTGCCAAAATTTGTATCAACAGGGCAGCCATGTCCATCCATTTCCCCATCCCCTTGTCATGTAGCTCCGGCCTTGCTGACGCGCGACGTCAAATCAACCGCCATCATTGAAGTGATCCCCGCTGTGGCAAACGGTTCCTCCATAGGGACTTCGTCTGGTTCACACCCCAAGAGAGAACGCAAGGTGTCCACAACGACCGCTCGAATATCAGTTTCCAGGGTCTCTGCAGTTGTGTCATTTGAAACTTCCTGGCTTGGAGATTCGACTTCCTGATGAGGCTCTGTGAGATCACGAGCCAGCACGTGGCGGAATAGAGCAGCAGGCCAAAGGTTCGATGGATTGGATTGATTTGCTGGGAAAACGCAGACTTGGCGGGGCAAGGAGCTTTTGCAAGCCAACAGGTGGCAAAGTAGCTCCATGCCAGCTTCAGGTGGTACAAAGCCCATACCTTCAGACGCCCAGAAGGCGTGGAAACCTGCACCAGCGCGATGTGCCATGCCTGTCTCTGCCCAAGCACCCCAGGCTACAGCTTGTGCACCTTGCCCATTGGCGGACCGGAGTGCTGTGAAGCCGTCTTGAAATCCATTTGCTGCCCCGTATGGTGCCAGGCGAGGATAGGAGAGTACTCCAAAGATACTGCTGAAGCAAACCAAAGTGCAAGCGTTTTTATCTTCACCCAGGCTTCCAAACACGCTGTTGCTGGTTGATGCCAAATTGAGAGTGCCGTCAACTTTGGCCTCAGCACTTCTGCGCAGTCTGCCCATCGAAGGTCCTTCGCAGCTGGTACCATGCCACTCTCCGGCAAAAAGCCTGCAAGATTCAGAATATGCGAGCAGGTCTTTGAATTTTTGGAGACATATTCCATCAAAGTTTCGCAACTCTTCAGGTCTGCTGCGTCTGCACGGAAATAATGTACGTGGCAGCCTGGTCCACTCACTGAATCCTGTGACGCATCTGTTCCCAAAGTAGATTTGCCAGGACCCCCTTTGCTGCGTCCAGCAACGACAATATCACTCAGCTGGCCGCACTTCTGCAAGGTTGACACTAGCAAGCGCCCCAGGCTGCCATTTCCACCCACAACAATGCAACTGGAGCCATTCCCTTCTGGGCCAATGAAGCCTGGCTTGCCTGACATCCCTGCCAACTGCATAGTTGCTTCATCCGTTTCGGGCATTTGCAAGCGCTTCAGGCGAGGAACAAAACGGCGACCGCCAGCCCACGCCACCTCTTCTGAGCGAGCCTGAGGGTCACAGAGGTGTGCGGCCTGTGCCTCAGCTACAATAGCGCTGCCTGCATCACTGGGTGATGCGTGACCACAAAGCTCAACAAGCCGCCAGGCGATGTCAGATTCTGCTGCAGCTGCACGAGCAAATGCCCAGCAGGCTGCGATTGCAGGATCTTTTGGTAATACCTGCCCTTCTGCAGCCTGATCCGTAGGATGCTGTGTAGCCACCAGAATGCTGCCAATCTTGAGAGCTTCTGCTGCTCGCACGATTGCAAGCATCATGCACAGTCCTCTCTGGACTGCCATCCTCACTCTTGCATCACCATCTGGACCCATGTCGACCATATTGCCCGCGGGCAGCAGCAAACAAACTCCGGCGGGCGCATCCATTCCAGCAAAATTGGAGATGGTGGGAACATCGCCTATGGAGCACTCCCCAATGGCTCCTCCAGCATTGAGGGCGGCAAAACGTGCAGAGACAGCGTGTAGCAAGTCTGAAGAAACAGGAGCAGAATCTGAGCCAGCAGAGAGGACCAACCATTGGCCAAACGAACCTGTGCAAGGCACAAAGGAACTGCTGCACCAAGCCAGCTCATAACAGTGCTCCCTGATGTACTTCAGATCTTGGGATCCATCTTGATCTTCAAGTTCTGCTTGGGCAATGCTGCTATCTCTCTTTTTCAATTCACTTTTTATGACTTTTCCCGAGCTGTTCAAAGGCATTGACTGCACCACTTCTACGAGACGTGGAATCTTGAAATCCGCCAGCAAATTGCCACAGAACTTCTGCAGGTCTGCCGTGCTGGGAACTGCCACGCCATCCTGCCAGTACAGTTGCGACAAGTGTAATTGGATGTTGGGTCTAAGTCACTAAAGGACCCACTCCTACGGTAGAAGACTAGGTAAACTCAGTCAAGTCATAAGAAGATAAATCGACAAAGTAGGAAAGCAAGGAATGGACACAAACACACGTGTGCAAACACACACACACACAGACAAACATACATACGTATACAAACGTTACGTTACCGTTACGTTACGGTTACGTGTTGCGTTACGTTACAGTACATTACATTCTATTAGATTTCATTATGTCACCACATACATACATTACATACATTACATACATTAAATTACATACATTAAATTACATACATTACATACATTACATGCATTACATGCATTACATACATTACATTACATACATTGCATACATACATACATCCATACATCCATCCATCCATACATACATACACACAAACACACATACACATACAGACATACAAACAGACATACATACACACACACATACATACATACATACATGCATACATACATACATACATACATATGTACATACATACATACATACGTACGTACATACATACATACAAGCATACAGACATACATACATACATGCATGCATGCATGCATACATACATACATTACATACAATACAATACAATACAATACAATACAATACAATACAATACAATACATACATTACATACATACATTACATACATTACATACATTACATGCATTACATTTATTACATGCATTACATTACATTACATTACATTACATTACATTACATTACATTACATTACATTACATACATTACTTACATTACATTACATTACATTGCATTAAATTGCATACCATTACCATTACCATTACCATGACCATTACATTGCATTGCATTACATTACATTACATACATACCATACATACATACATACATAAACGCTTGCATACATACATACATACATTACATACATTACATACATACATACAGACATACATACACATACACACACCCTACATACATACACACATACATACATACTGACTTACTTACATTACATCACATTGCATTACATTACATTACGTTGCATTACATTACATTACATTACATTACATACATACATTACATTACATGACTTGCATACAGACATACATTACATTACATTGCGTTACATTAAATTACATTACATAAAAACATACATACATACATTACATACATTACATTACATTACGTTACATTACATTACATTACACTACATACCAAACATACATACATACATACATACATGCATGCATGCATACATACATACGCACATACATACATAGCATTACATACCATTACATACCATTACATACCATTACATACCATTACATACATACGTGCCATTACATACCATTACATACATACATGCCATTACATACCATTACATACATACATACCCTTACATACATACCCTTACATACATACAAGCATACTTACAAGCATACATACATACATAAACACATACACACATACACACAAACACGCAAACACACACACATACACACATACATACATACATACATACATACCCTTACATACATACAAGCATACATACATACATAAACACATACACACATACACACATACACACAAACACGCAAACACACACACGTACACACATACATACATACATACATACATACATACATACATACATACATACATACATACATACATACATACATACATACATACATACATACATACAGTACAGTACAGTACATACAGTACATACATACATACAGACATACATTACATATACCGTTTACATACATTACATACATTACATACATTACATACATTACATACATTACATACATTACATACATTACATACATTACATACATTACATACATTACATACATTACATACATTACATACATTACATACATTACATACATACATACATGCATACATGGATACATGCAAACATGCAAACATGCATACATGCATACATGCATACATACATGCATACATACATGCATACATACATACATACACACATACAAACAAACAAACATTACATACATACATAAATCCATTACGTTACGTTATATTACGTTACGTTACGTTACATTACATTACATACATAAAAGCATTACATACATACATACATACATACATAACATACAGAACATACAGAACATACATTACATACATAACATACATAACATGCATAACATACAGAACATACAAAACATACATAACATACATAACATACATAACATGCATACATACATACATGCATACATACATATGTACATACATACATACGTACGTACATACATACATACATACATACAAGCATACAGACATACATACATACATGCATGCATGCATGCATGCATACATACATACATTACATACAATACAATACAATACAATACAATACAATACAATACATACATTACATACATTACATACATTGCATGCATTACATTTATTACATGCATTACATTACATTACATTACATTACATTACATTACATACATTACTTACATTACATTACATTACATTGCATTAAATTGCATACCATTACCATTACCATTACCATTACCATGACCATTACATTGCATTACATTACATTACATACATACCATACATACATACATAAACGCTTGCATACATACATACATACATTACATACATACATACATACAGACAGACATACATACACATACACACACCCTACATACATACACACATACATACATACTGACTTACTTACATTACATTACATTGCATTACATTACATTACGTTGCATTACATTACATTACATTACATTACATTACATACATACATACATTACATTACATGACTTGCATACAGACATACATTACATTACATTGCGTTACATTAAATTACATTACATAAAAAACATACATACATACATTACATACATTACATTACATTACGTTACATTACATTACACTACATACCATACATACATACATACATACATGCATGCATGCATGCATACATACATACATACATATATACGCACATGCATACATAGCATTACATACCATTACATACCATTACATACCATTACATACATACATGCCATTACATACCATTACATACATACATGCCATTACATACCATGACATACATAGATACCCTTACATACATACCCTTACATACATACACACATACACACAAACACGCAAACACACACACGTACACACATACATACATACATACATAAACACATACACACATACACACAAACACGCAAACACACACACGTACACACATACATACATACATACCCTTACAAACATACAAGCATACATACATACATAAACACATACACACATACACACAAACACGCAAACACACACACACACGTACACACATACACACATACATACATACATACATACATACTTACATACATACATACATACATACATTACATACATTACATACATTACATACATACATACATACATGCATGCATGCCATTACATACATACCATTACATACATACCGTTACATACATTACATACATACATACCATTACATACATTACATACATTACATACATTACATACATTACATACATTACATACATTACATACATTACATACATACATACATGCATACACATGCAAACATGCAAACATGCATACATGCAACATGCATACATGCATACATGCATACATGCATACATGCATACATACATGCATACATACATGCATACATACATACATACATACACACATACAAACAAACAAACATTACATACATACATAAATCCATTACGTTACGTTATATTACGTTACGTTACGTTACATTACATTACATACATAAAAGCATTACATACATACATACATACATACATACATACATACATAACATACAGAACATACATTACATACATAACATACATAACATGCATAACATACAGAACATACATTACATACAAAACATACATAACATACATAACATACATAACATGCATACATACATACATGCATACATACATGCATACACACATGCATACATACATACAAACAAAAATTACATTACATTACATTACATTACGTTACGTTACGTTACATTACATTCATTACATACATTACATAGATTACATACATTACACACATTAAATACATTACATACATTACATCCATTACATACGTTACATACATTACATACATTACATACTTTACATACATAACATTACATTACATACATAACATACATTACATACATACATACCTACCTACCAACCATAACATACATACCATAACATACATACATACATACATACCATAACATACATACCATAACATACATACCATAACATGCATACCATTACATACATACCATTACATTCATACATACATACATGCATCCATGCATGCATGCATGCATACATACATTACAAACATACATACATACATGCATACATACTTACATACATTACATACATTACATACATTACATACAATACAATACTATACTATACAATACAATACACTACAATACAATACAACACAATACAATACATACCTTAATTACATACATACATACATACATACATACAGACAGACATACATACATACATTAATTACATACATACATACATACGTACGTACATACATTACATACCATAACATTACATTACATTACATTACAATACATACATGCATACATACATACATACATTACATGCATTACATGCATTACATACATTACATACATTACATACAGACATACATTACATTACATCACATTACATTAAATTACTTTACATTGCATCACATCACATCACATTACATTACATACATTACATACATACATACACTACATTACATCACATTACATTAAATTACTTTACATTGCATCACATCACATCACATCACATCACATTACATTACATTACATACATTACATACATACATACATACATACATACGTACGTACGTACGTACATACATACATACATACACACATGCATACACACATACATACATACATAACATAACATAACATTACATTACATTGCATTACGTTACATTACATTACATTACATACATACATACATTACAATACATACATACATGCATACATACATACATACATGCATGCATGCATGCATGCATGCATGCATTACATGCATTACATGCATTACATACATTACATACATTACATACATTACATACATGACATACATTACATACATTAGATACGTTAGATACATTAGATACGTTAGATACATTACATACATTACATACATTACATACATTCTATACATACATTACAGACATTACATGCATTGCATCCGTTACATCCATTACATCCATTACATACACTACATACGCTACATACACTACATACACTACATACACTACATACACTACATACACTACACAGACACACAGACAGACAGACAGACAGGCAGGCAGGCAGACGGACAGACGGACAGACGGACAGACGTACAGACGTACATACATACATACATACATGCATGCATGCATGCATACATACATACATTACAATACATACAATCAATTCATTCATTCATTCATTCATTCATTTCATTCATTCATACATACATACATATTATACATACGTATGCGTATTTACACATGCGCAAATGCACCTGGTTACCCTCATACATTTGCATCCACTATCATACTCTCATGCACACACACACACGTACGCACACTGCACACATGAGCATACAATACATGACGCACATATGATTCTTTATATATATATATTTATACATGTACATATACATGCGCATGCACATATACAATGCATATACATACACGGATGCACATACACATGATTATACACATATGTACATATACAATCATATACATATATATATATATATACATACATATACATACATATACATATTTATACACATGCATGTACATGCGCATTTGCCCACAAATCAACATATGGGTTTACAGGTGCTGGCACGTATACACGTACAGTAAACACACAGACTCACATAGGCATTATCCAAGCAAAGGGCCCTTGGACCCACAAGAGGCACAAGCAAAACACGATGTCCCTGCTGTGTATTTTCATGTCAAAGGCAAAGGCTCCATGATGCTGCCTGCACACGCTGGTTGAGCGCCAAACACAAAGTACTGCTATCATGTTTGAAATCCGTCCTTCACCATAACCACAGCCTTCACCAACTCTCCAATCATCTCTGGTCCAGGGACCCCATAAACGGAGCAAAGTGAGACAGCTGGATGAGCAAAGAGCGCATTCTCGACCTCAATGCAATACACATTTTCGGATCCGACCAAGATCATATCCTTCAAACGGTCGATGACATGCAAAAAGCCAGATGGGGTGATGTAGGCCAAATCACCTGTCCGGAACCAACCACCTGGCAGGAAGCTGTCAGGGTCAGCGGTGCTAACGCCGCTCTCAGGATTCAGGTATCCTTTGAACACAGTGGGCCCACGAAGTTGCACCTCACCAACTGTCTTTCCATCCTGCAGCACTGGCATGGCCGTCTCAACATCTGCCACTCTCACCTCAATCCCCTCGAAGGGTTTTCCTGAAGAGCACAACATCTCCATCTGCTGTCCCAAAGGAAGCAGTCTTTGCTCTGGACTCAGCATGGACATTGAAATTTTTCCGCAGCACTCAGTCATACCATATGATTGGAAGAACTCACAGCCGAAAAGCCGTTGAGCTCTCAAGACTGATGCCTTGCTGAGCGGCGCGCCCCCGCAGGACACCAATCGCAGGCTTGGAAAGCGACCATCAAGTGAACGACTGGAAGGGGAAGCTAGAAGCAAGTTCACCATGGATGTTGCCATGTTGGTTGCTGTGATCTCTTTGGAACGCATTGTCTCAAGCGTACCTTCAGGATCAAAGTTTCCCTGGAGCAGCACATGTTTCCCCCCAACGGCGGTGATAGAAAACATTGCAAATGCGTCCACCAAGTGAAACATTGGTGCCACATGAAGCCACACATCTTCCGAGGAAAAACGATGTTCCGAAATACAATGAAGCGCGTGAGTGTGAACAATCGCATGGGAAAGCAACACCCCCTTGGATCGCCCAGAAGTGCCGCTGGTAAAGTACATTTCACATGGCAAGTCGGCAACGCTGCTCTCCTCTAGAGACCACAATCCATTTGCAGGCGGTGCAGGCGCTGCAGGCGGTGCAGGCGCTGCAGCGCATTCCATCACATCTTCCAGAACCACCTGGGAGTGCTTTTGGGGTCAGTTTTGTTCCCTATCATTGCCTATCATGTAGCATTGTACTTTTGAACTGCACCTAACATCTGGAAAACAAGCACATGGACAACCAAGAACGAATGGCATTCATAGTCTACGTACTGCTTTTAAGTCAAGAAACGTTCTGTGGTCCCTCAGAGCCATCTGGCAAACCGCCTTGGAGCTCTGCAACGCACAGAAACAATAAAAAAAACTTAAAAAACAACTCGGCCAAAACACCCATTTCTGACCGTTTATGTAATTATATGTACTTAGATTTATGTGCATATACTGTAAACAAAAAAACTAGACAACGGATGGCCCGAGAGCGTAGAGGAGCAGGGTCTTCTTGTTAGTATGGAGACACCATATTACAAACAATATATTAAAGATGTGTTATAGGCAGTCGAGAAGAGGAGTATCAAGACAAAATAGCAGAAGTGCAAGACAATAGTTTGCATCGCAAACACTTTTACACACAGAAGCTTTTACACACAAAAGATTTTACACACAAAAGCTTTTACACACAGAAGCTTTTACACACAGAAGCTTTTACACACAAGGGCTTTCACACACAGAAGCTTTTACACACAGACACTTTCACACACAGACCCTTTTACACACAAAAGCTTTTACAGACAGACACTTTCACACACAGACCCTTTTACACACAGACGCTTGTACACACAAAAGCTTTTACACACAAAGCTTTTACCCACAGAAGCTTTTACAGACAGAAGCTTTTACACACATAAGCTTTTACACAGATGCTTTTACACACAGACACTTTTACACACAAACACTTTTACACACAAACACTTTTAACAAAGACCCTTTTACACACAGGAGCTTTTACACACAGAAGCGTTTACACGCAAACGCTTTTAAACACAAAAACTTTTACACAGGATCTTTTTACACACAAGCTTTTACACACAGAAGTTTTTACACACAGACACCTTTACACACAGAAACTTTTACACACAGACGCTTTACACACAGACACTTTTACACACAGACGCTTTTACACACAGAGGCTTTTACACACAGAAGATTTTACACAACAAACTCTTTTACACACTGACGGTTTCACACACAGACGCCTTTACACACAGAAGCTTTTACACACAGAAGATTTTACACACAGAAGCTTTTACACACTGACGGTTTTACACACAGACGCTTTTACACATAGAGACTTTACACACAGAAGATTTTACACACAGAGGCTTTTACACACAGAGGCTTTTACACACAGAAGATTTTACACACAGAAGCTTTTACACACTGACGGTTTTACACACAGACGCTTTTACACATAGAGACTTTTACACACAGAAGATTTTACACACAGAAGCTTTTACACACAGAGGCTTTTACACACAGAAGATTGCACACACAGAAGCTTTTACACAGACGCTTTTTACACAGACGCTTTTACACACAGAAGCTTTTACACACAGACACCTTTACACACAGAAACTTTTACACACAGACGCTTTACACACAGACACTTTTACACACAGACGCTTTTACACACAGAGGCTTTTACACACAGAAGATTTTACACAACAGACTCTTTTACACACTGACGGTTTTACACACAGACGCTTTTACACACAGAGGCTTTTACACACAGAAGATTTTACACACAGAAGCTTTTACACACTGACGGTTTTACACACAGACGCTTTTACACATAGAGACTTTTACACACAGAAGATTTTACACACAGAAGCTTTTACACACAGAGGCTTTTAAACACAAAGATTGCACACACAGAAGCTTTTACACAGACGCTTTTTACACAAACGCTTTTACACACAGAAGCTTTTACACACAGACACCTTTACACACAGAAACTTTTACACACAGACGCTAGCACACAGAAACTTTGTATTCGCAATTTTACCTCAGTTTTTGGCGATCGATCATTTTGTGCGAAAGGGTTGCAACGGGAACCCGGAAATCGCAATTTTACCTCAGTTTTTAGCGATTGACCCTCATTTCGTGCGAAAAGGTTGCAACGGGAACCCGGAAATCGCACTTTTACCTCAGTTTTTGACGATCGAACCTCATTTCGTGCGAAAGGGTTGCGCCGGACAAGTTGAAATCGCAATTTTACCTCAGTTTTTGGCGATCGAACCTCATTTCGTGCGAAAGGGTTGCGCGGGACGACTTGAACTCGCAATTCTACCGCAGTTTTTGGCGATCGAACCTCGTTTCGTGCGAGAGGGTTGCGCCGGACGACTTGGAAATCGCAATTTTACCTCAGTTTTTGGCGATCGAACCTCATTTCGTGCGAAACGACTTGAACTCGCAATTTTACCTCAGTTTTTGGCGATCGAACCTCGTTTCGTGCGACAGGGTTGCGCCGGACGACTTGCAAATCGCAATTTTACCTCAGTTTTTGGCGATCGAACCTCATTTCGTGCGAAAGGGTTGTGTTTCGTGCCGTCTCGTTGGCACTGCCCCTGCTCCCGCCTTCAAAAGAGAAATAGAAAAGAAGGAGAGGGCAAGAGGGCAAGAGGGCAAGAGGGCAAGAGGGCAAGAGGGCAAGAGGGCAAGAGGGCAAGAGGAGAAGATGTGAGATGAGAAGATGTGAGAAGATGTGAGAAGATGTGAGAAGATGTGAGAAGATGTGAGAAGATGTGAGAAGATGTGAGAAGATGTGAGAAGATGTGAAGATGAGAAGATGTGAAGATGAGAAGATGAGGAGAAGATGAGCAGATGAGGAGAAGATGAGAAGATGAGGAGAAGATGTGAGGATGAGAAGATGTGAAGATGAGAAGATGTGAAGATGAGAAGATGAGGTGAAGATGAGCAGACGAGGAGAAGATGAGAAGATGAGGAGAAGATGTGAGGATGAGAAGATGAGGAGAAGATGAGAAGATGAGGAGAAGATGTGAGGATGAGAAGATGTGAGGATGAGAAGATGTGAAGATGTGAAGATGTGAAGATGAGAAGATGTGAAGATGAGAAGATGTGAAGATGGGGAGATGAGGAGAAGATGTGAAGATGAGAAGATGTGAAGATGAGAAGATGTTTTACAGACCCCCACTATTGGAAGAACCCTGCGCTCAGACGCTCTCGGGAAAAAATAAAAACAATATGTGAACCAATGCATGTAGCTCATGCCGAAGTGGCCTGACCAAAAGATCGGCATCGAAGAGAGTCTTTGCTCGCATAGCGCCAATGTATTAGAGACCAGAGATGCAGAATCAACATGAGAAATCAAAGCGCTAGGCTTTGCATCATCCAGAAGCCTTGCGCAAACGCAGCTTGACATAGGTTCGTGTTAATTTGGGCAGAAGAAGAAAATGGAATATGTATCTGCATCATGCAAACAAATAGGTACCAGTAGTACCGCACAAGGCGGTGGCGGAAGTTTCAAAAATAGGAAACCTATAGGAGAGCTTGGTTGTTGTGAATCCGGGATGGCAGAGCGAAGCCACTGATGGACTGAAAGGTGCTTGATCTCTCTCACTCTTTCTCTCTCTTTCTCTGACTATCTACCTACCTACCTATCTATTTTCTATGTATCTATCTATCTATCGATCTTTCTAGTGTAGTGTAATGTAGTGTAGTGTAATTTAGTGTAGCGGAGTGTAGTGTAATGTGGCGTAGCGGCGTAGTGTACTGTAACTTAATGTAGTGGAGTGTAGTTGTGTAGTTCTGTTGTAGTTGTAGTGTTGTGGAGTGTAGTGTAGTGTAATGTACTGTAGTGTAGTGGAGTGTATAATGTAGTGCAATGACCCGAAGCGAAGCGAAGCGACATCTGAACCTCCAAAAGTGGTCCGAACCCCTAGTGTTTTGTACATTTTGACTTCGAAATGTGCTTCGCGCCACAACGGCGTGCACTTTTTCGAGATCTGAACCTCCAAAAGTGGCGCGAACATGTGGTGTTTTGTACATTTTGACTTCGAAATGTGCTTCGCGCCACAACGGCGTGCACTTTTTCGACATCTCAACTTCCAAAAGTGGTCCGGAGCTGGTGTGTTTTGTACATTTTGACTTCGACATGTTCTTCTGATCTTTTCTCTTCTGACTCTTCTCCCTGCTGACTGCTTTTTCATCTCTCCATATTGTCGGAAGTTTGACTTCCAAACTTCCTTCGATAAATATACAATACTATACATGAACTTACCGATAAAGATTGTATTTCGTGTAGCATCATGTAGCTCTTACTCTTACAGCAACTCACGTCGATGTGTAGCATGATGTACAACATGAAAAAGCATGTCATTGGGCCCACCTCAAAAACTCAGAAGTAACGTTTTGTACTTGTACCACCTTGGACAAAATGTACAAGCGTATCATAATGCAGGCGGGCGTTGGCTGAGTCCAATGTTCTATGCCAGAGGGTAGGGAAATCGCTTTGGTCATAAATTTCCATCACTTTAAAATTTAGTCATAAATCATTCCATGACGATAGATGATCACTTTGGTCAAAAAACGATCACTTTGGCCCTTGGCCATAGTTTTGTATCTAATGATGATCACTTTGGTCCTGAATCTCCATCACGTTGGTCATAAATCATTTCCCAACAGCGTAAGCTAATGGAAGCTTCAGCCCAGAATAGCTCCGGTGTGCACTGGTGCAGGTGCCGGTCAAGTTCAACGAGGTTCCGGAGAAGGTTCCGAAGGTTCTGAAGAAGGTCTGGGAAGCTTCGGTGCAGAGCCAGGTCACGTTCAACAGGGTTCCGGAGAAGGTTCAGGAGAAGGTCGGGGAGGCTTTGGTGCAGAGCCGGGTCAAGTTCAACAGGGTTCCGGAGAAGGTTCCGGAGAAGGTTCCGGTGAAGGTCTGGGAGGCTTCGGTGCAGAGCCAGGTCTGAGTCTGGTAAGGTTCAACAGAGTCGGAGCCACACCAAGATACACCATTAAGGGTTCAACAGGGTTCCGGAGAAGGTTCCGGAGAAGGTTCCGGTGAAGGTCTGGGAGGCTTCGGTGCAGAGCCAGGTCAGGTTCAACAGGGCTCCGGAAAAAACTGAAGGTCTGGGAGGGAGCCTTCGGTGCAGAGCCAGGTCAGGTTCAACAGCGTTCCAGAGAAGGTTCCGGAGAAGGTGCGGGAGGCCTCAGCCGGGTTCCGGACGGAGAAGGTTCCAGAGAAGGTGAGAGGCTAATTTGGTGCAAAGCCATGTCAAGTTCAACAGGGTTCCGGGAAGGTTGCGGAGAAGGTCGGGGAGGCTAGGTTCAACAGGGTTCAGACGAAGAAGGTTCCGGAGAAGGTTCCGGGAGGCTTTGGGTGCAAAGCCGACTTATGATCGTGGGGCTGTCTGATCCTCTGCCTGGTCCGCTGATCCGCTGCCTGGTCCGCTGGTCCGCTGGTCCGCTGATCCTGATCCGCTGATCCGCTGATCCGCTGATCCGCTGGTCCGCTGGTTCGCTGGTCCGCTGGTCCGCTGATCCGCTGATCCGCTGATCCGCTGATCCGCTGGTCCGCTGGTTCGCTGGTCCGCTGGTCCGCTGATCCTGCTCCGCTGCTCCGCTGCTCCTCTGATCCGCTGGGCCGCTGATCCGCTGATCCGCTGATCCGCTGCTCCGCTGCTCCGCTCCTCCGCTGGTCCGGTGGTCCGCTGATCCGCTGATCCGTTTATCTGCTGATCCGCTGATCCGCAGATCTGCTGATCTGCTGGTCCGCTGATCCGCTGGTCCTCTGATCTGCTGGTCTGCGGGTCTGCTGGCTGATCCGCCGGCCTGCCGAACGAGAGTGGAAGCACCATGGGCTCCCGAGCACGTTGGAACGCTCGCAGAGAAAGTTGAGAGCGTAGCACACAGCGTGCTGGAGTTAAAATCGTAGCATGCAGAGCGTGTTGCAGCTAAGAGGGTCGTATGAAGAGAGTTGCTGAATGGAAATGTTGCGAGCGTAGCATCAAAAGCGTTTTTGAAATCCCAGGCGCAAGTTAAGAGCCTAGCAGCCAGACTCTGAGCGTCTTGGAGGTTCCAAGTGAAAGTTAAGAGGGTAGTCTCAAGAGCGTGTTGGAAGTTCAAAGGGAAAGTTAAGAGCGTAGCGCCAGGAGTGTTCGCGAAATATCGCGAAATCCCAAGAGCAAGTTAAGGGCCTACCAGAAAATGTTGGAAAGCCCAAGAGAAAGTTCAGAGCGCAGAAGCAAGAGCGTGTTGGAAGTTCCAGGAGAGAGCTAAGAGTGTGGCGGCATCAAGAGCGTTTTGGCTGTTCTGAGACGAGAAAGATAAATTTTAAGAATTTAGCATCAAAAGTGATCTTGACGTCCTTAAATGAGAAGAGAGGGTAGCGTCAAGAGCGCGTTGGAAGTTCGAAGAGTAAGTTGAGCACGTAGCATCAAGAGCGTGTTGGAAGTTCAAAGGAAATTCAAGAGCGTAGCGTCAAGTGCGCGTTGAAAGTTTCAAGAGAAACCTATAACGCGCCATCCCAATCATTTTCAAAATGCCAAGAGCAATGAGGTAAGCGCCTATAGCATCCGTTGGAATATGTTAAAGCGTAGAGGATGTTGGAGTTAAAAGTGTGGCATCAAGATCGTGTTGGCAGTCAGAGCGAAGCATCAAGTAGCGCGCTGAACTGTTTCAGGAAAACGTTGAGAGTGTAGCATCAAAGCCTGTTGGAAGTTGCTGTAGAAAACCCAAAACGTGGAAGTTCAGAGCCTAGCATCATTGAATGTTCCAGGAAAAGTTCATAGCGTCGCATCAGAAGCGTTCTCGAAAGGCAAAAGTAAGTGCAGAGCCGGCCTAGCTTCAACCGCATGTTGGAATGTTCCCCGGGAAAGTTGAGAGCGTAGCAGCAAGAGTAAGTTTCAAGACAAACCTAAAACACACCATCGAAATCATGTTCAAAATCCTAGGAGCAAGATAACGGCCTAGCATCCAGAGCGCGTTGGAATGCCCCCCAAGAAAAACAAAAGCGCAGCACACAGAGCATGTTGGAGGTAAAAGCGTGGTATCAAGATCATGTTGGGGGTCAGAGCGAGGCATCAAGAGCGTGCTGGACCGTTTCAGGAAAAAGTTAATGTGTAGCGTCGAAGGCCTGTTGGAGGTTCAAGAGAAGCTCGTAAAGTGGCATCAAGAGTGTGTCCGAAACTCCAAGAGAAAGTTCCGAGCCTAGCATCAAGAGGGTGCTGCAATGTGCCAGGAAAAGTTGAGAGCGTAGCATCAAGAGCGTTCTCGAAATCCCAAGAGCAAGTTAAGAGCCAGCCCAGCATCAAGGGCATGCCGCAATGTTCCCAGAGAATGTTGAGAGAGTAGCATCAACAGCGTAGCTACACATCCAAGATTGCTTTCGCTCTTGGCACCAGGAAACTTCACATGATGCTACGAGATCAGATTCCCGTTGTTGTTGCTGCTGTTGACGTTGTTGTTGGTGATGGTGATTATGATGATAACGATGAAGAAGATGATGATGATGGTTGTGGTGGTGATGATGGTTGTGTTGTTGATGGTGATGATGACGATGATGGTGACGATGTTCGTGACAGCAATGATAAGAAGATTAAAACAAAGATGAAGAAGATGACGGTGATGGTGATGGTGGTGATGATGATGATGATGATGATTGTGGTGATGATGAATCTGGTGATAATTTTGATCATGATACTGATGAAGATGAAGATGATGATGCTGATGATGATGATGATGATAGTGGTGGTGGTGATGGTTATGACGATGATGACGATGATGACGATGATGGCAACGATGACGACGATGGTAATGGAGATGATAAAGGGGATGATGGTGCTGACGAGGAAATGTATTTTGTTGATAATGTTGAAAATTGACGATGTTGGTGGTGACATTAATGATGAAGAAGAAGAAGATGATGATGATGATGGTGGTCATTTAGTAATGATGCTGATGAAGATGAAGGTGATGATGCTGATGATGGTGATGATGATGATGATGCTCATGATGATGGTGATGATGATAATAATAATGATGATAGTGGTGGTGACGATGGTTATGAAGATGATGACGATGATGACAATGATGATGATGGTAATGGAGATGATAAAAGGGATGATGCTGAAAATAATTGTCATGATGCTGATAATGATGATGGTGCTGATGAGGAAATATGTTTGGTTGATAATGTTGAAAATGACGATGTTGATGATGACCTTGATGATGATGATGATGATGATGAACATGATGATGAACATGATGATGATGATGATGATGGTGATGATGATGATGATGGTGATGATGATGATGATGATAAAAACGATCAACATGATGAACATGATGAAAATGTCTGTTGTTGATGGTGCTGATGTGGAGAACGATCGTGATGATGATG